CTCTAAGTAAAATGGCTGAATGGGACGTTGAATGCCACTGATTTTCATTCTGCTGTCCTTGCCACCCTTATCTGCCAAAATCCCGCTGAGGTGAACAGTATCCCTGCTCTGCCACCCATCAGCTCAGAGGGCACTGCCACCGGTGTAAGGTCACGCGCCTATAACACACACAATGCTGTTACATTTTCTGACAGTAAAACGAAGAACAGCACAATTTAGCAGTGATAATATGAGAAAATACTCAGGCTTATTTTTTTACAGAAAAGTACAATGGAAATACCAAGGTATAGTGGCATCAGACAGTAATATCAAGTACTGTGATACTGTATACACTTAAATATACACTATAGGTTAAATTCATATTCATATATCATGGTACATCTAAATAATAAAATAAATAATGAATAATTAAAAAAAGGTAATAATAATCATATTTCTATGAGGTCCAAAAAAAATGAAAAATACTAAATTTCTACTTTAAATTATCAAATGTATTGCTCAGTTTCACTTCAAGCTGTTTCACTAAAAGTTTAAAGGGATAGTTCACCCAAAAATTAAAATTCTGTCAGTAATTACTCACCCTCATGTCGTTCCACACCTGTAAGACTTTCTTTCATCTTCGGAACACAAATTAAGATATTTTTGATGAAATCTGAGAGCTTTCTGAACCCTCCATAGACAGCAACGTCATTGCAACTTTCAAGGCCCAGAAACGTAGTAAAAACATTGTTAAAATAGTCCTTGTGATGAGAACCCGGAAGTGCTGAACTGTATTTATTACGCGAATATAGCGTAGGAGATCTGACACAGAAGAGAAGAAATTGTTGAATAAAGTTGTCATTTTTGTTTGTTTTAACTTTTTTTTAGCACAAAAAGTATTCTTGTCGCTTCATAACATTACAATTGAACCACTGTAGTCACATGGACTATTTTAACAATGTCTTTACTATCTTTTTGGGCCTTGAAAGTTGCAATGACGTTGCTGTCTATGGAGGGATCAGAAAGCTCTCGGAAGTTGTGTTTCCGAAGATAAACGTCTTACGGGTTTGGAACGACATGAGGGTGAGTAAATAATGACAGAAATTTTCATTTTTGGGTGAACTAACCCTTTTAGGATACATAGATATCAGCCATTACATTTGAATAAACACTGGTTGACCAAATCATTGACCCAAATGTATATACGGTTACATCCTTAGTACAAATTATTACGACATTTTCCGAATCCTGCATACTAATAATAATAATCAATCTCAAAGTCCAATGGATGGCTGTAAATGTTGCTTACATTCAACAATATGCAATTTTTCACTACCTAAACCAGTGGGACAACATTTCAGAAAAGGACTGTAAAAATGACGAATGCTAGAACTGTTATCACCGTGGGTCAGCACATGCTTTCATTAATTCATTCAAAGGGCTTTTTCCTCAACTTGTGTGTCCGGCTACTAGTCCAGCTACAAGAGCCAATGCTGAAAGAGTCCCTGTATCTGCTTTACCAGGATACAGAGAGAGAGAATGATGAGAGAGAGGAAAGGGTACAGCAGGGGACTCGATTGAATGGGGAATTGGTGTATGTGTGTGAGAGTGAGAGAGAGAGAGAGAGAGAGAGAGAGAGAGAGAGAGAGAGAGAGAGAGAGAGAGAGAGAGAGAGAGAGAGAGAGAGAGAGAGAGAGAGAGAGAGAGAGAGAGAGAGAGAGAGAGAGAGAGAGAGAGAGAAGAGAAAGTGGCAATAGAGAGTGGTGGGTTTGCTCTTTGGGAAAGGAGCCAATCCAATTACAGGCAGCAGTGCAAGCCCGGTTTCTTCAGCTGAGCTAAATTTCACATTTCATCAGTCTCTTCCCTTCTCTTGCTGCCACTGTGCTATGCTTTCCCTCTCTCTTTCCCTCCCTCTCCTCTTGCAGGATGAGGGCAGGAATAGGCAGATCATGCAACCGACTCCACAAGCTTTCCTGTAGCTCAAAAAGTAGAGCATTGGCGCTTGCAACGCCAAGGTCATGGGTTCGATTCCCAAGGAAAAAAAGAATGTGTACCTTGAAATGCGATGTAAGTCGCTTTGGATAAAAGTGTCTGCCAAATGCATAAATGTAAATGTAAATTCTTCAAAGCAGGAAGCACAACCACTCACCCTGTGCAACAATATATCACCTTCAGAGCATCAAATCCTGTCAATCTATAGGTTAACATCAAAATTAGGGCAATGCCATATAGCTAAAAATGAAAATTATATTTTGAACATTTTAATATTTAAAAATAACATTTATTTACAAATATATACATAATCAAATGAGTAAAATAACATTTTATTTGAATGAATTAAGCTAAAAAGCTCCAATGCCAGGTTTGCTTTTGAAGCTAAAAATCATAGGTGCTATTAAAACTTTCATAGAAAAATCATAAAAAAAATCATAGGTGCTATTAAATGTCTTAACACTTTCATACTGGTGAATCTGGAGACATTAGGAATCCTCATGGCCAAATAAAAAGCATATTCAAATAATCACAATATCCGTGATGCTGCTTAATTTTAGATGACTAGCAAACTCATAGAGAATGGTGAATATTATTAAATAGTTCATAGCTGGAACACTGCCAGACAGCTTGAGTTGCACAGTGAGGCAAAGACTCATGGAGAAAAATCTCACAAATACCAGCTTCCTGAGCTCTCTGGACTCGTTTGTGCATTTTCCAAGAGACACAGTTTTTGGGGCTGTGATAGCTCTCTAACCTCTCCAAAACACACAACCTCTCATAAGGCTGTCTCATCCTCTTCCTGCGACACTGTTACGCCCTGTGCAGATGTGACCGAATCCTCAGGGTTTGCAGAGACTATCGCAAGATACTCAGCGTTTCCATCTAGGGTAATACCTCCCTAATCCCACCATATCTGTACGTCTCATTTTCCTCTCTGGCCACTAGGGCGGCGATACCACACACCGGCTGAGATTCAACAAAGAGCTTGAGGCTAGACAAACATGCCGAGGCAGCACTTCTAAGAGGACGGCGCTGTCGGCCTAATTTGATTGTACCAACCGAGAGGAGAAAAAAAAATAACATTAATTAATAACCCACTAAAACAAGAGGATTACAGAGAGCGAATGCCTCCGATGCCACTTCCTGATTGCGGTGCTGATTCAATTATAAATTAATTAATCAAGGTGCAAAACACAATTTGGACGTTGCCGTGCTACCGGCATGAAACAAACACTCGGTTTGACTCTTTGACATTGTCCGTTCTCCCTGGCGTCTGGGAAGGCAGCTGTTATTTGTGTGTGTTTGTAGGGGGGCAGGTGGGAATGAGGGACAGACCCAGCGTTTGTAGAGCAGGTCTCTCTCTGTCTTCATCTCTTTGGTGTCTCCTTCAGCTGCTGTGGGGTGAGGACAGGAGGTGGGCATGCCTGTTCCTGCTCGTCTAACAGGGCCTAACCTGTCACTCAACATTGTCGTGTCCCAAAGGAGGCATGAGTCCCAATAGCAGCTGACAGACCCCTAGTCATCTTCATAATTGCGTATTGAAGGTAGTCTCATCTTGTTACCAACCACAGCAGTTCCATTAGCCACATGCTAACATGTCAACACTTACTTAACTGCCAGCTCAATAAAGGGCAAATATTTTGAACCACACAGATAGATCTGTAGTCTACTGTATGTTTGCTGTATATTAGTGTTGTAATTGAAAAACCATTCAAAATCATTTTCAGTAATTAAAATAAAGCTGAAATTAAAGCTTAATATTAAATGAAAATTTACACAAAAAAAAATCACCCAGAACTCTGAAGTAACTTACATGTCCTGCCACTCGGGTTTTTGTGTGGGACTTCTATTCTGATGCTACTAAGAATGCCTGAGCACACAGCGCTCCCATTCTCCGTCTTCATTAGTTTACGGTTTGTTTTACAGTCCTGTCTAATACGGTATTAGAAAGAACTGTTATACAAAGAAAGTAACAGTTTACGAAAAGTGTTATAGCGTTTGCTGTGCGGTTGATGACAGGTGTTTCCACATGCGTTTGGCCAATCAACGTACACTTACGTCACTGGTAGTTCCTATTGTGCTGGGATAGACCCGACTCTGAAGTAGGAGCTAGTTTACTTCCCCCAAAAGGCGTTCCTAGAACTAAAATCATTCCCAGTTCCTGAAGTGTGTACACAGCTAAAAGCGAGTACTTTTTTTCAGCCAATAGTTATAGGAACTATGACAACGTTCCTCCGGTACAAAAGCTCATTTAGAGTGGAAATAAACATATCAAATTAGATAAAAAAGTTATTTAGTTATTGTTTTATGCTTATGTTGTGCTGTAGGTAACACAGCCTGTCAATAGTTAGCACAGTAATTTAACGGCAGCTAACACCGACTACTACATCTGATTCCCGTTAAATACTCAAATCAAATGTGCAAGCGAATGGCGTTCATGTTGACTTTGATAGAAGTTGAGTGATGGTTTCTTGTCTATTACACTACTATTACCAACCAAAAGATATGTTTAACACATTATCTTCATGCTCTTTATCTGAAAGATATTATAATTATGCATCTGATAACCTTATACTCTCAACGGCATTTGGTTCTTGTGTCTAACATCCTTTCCTTGGGTTTGGCTGAGAAGACATTCTATTAAAATTAATAGACTCGGGAGGTAGACAGGAACCCCTGAGGTCACTTTAAGCTGCCCATTATGGACACAAAAGTGAACAGAACCAGAAGCATCCTACAAAAAGGTATTAAATATTTAGGCAAAAAAGTTTCTGGTTCCCTTTTTTCCATCTATAGTTTTAAATGAGGCCAGTAGAGCAGTTCAAAGTGGTGCTCCTCCAGAAGACATCATTAATAACTAACGTGACACACTGTTTGCGAACAAAACCGTTTGCTTGTATCTTAGGTTACAGGTCTAGAACTTTTCCATTTAACTCAAACATGTCCGACTCCGTAAAACATCTCAGCTTTCAGAGCCACAACATTCAGTCCACCACTGAGTTAAAACTCCTGCACTCAAGACTCACCTTTTTCAGTCGTCCACTCTTGGTGCCAACAAAAGCCACACAGTAGCCATTATAGACGTAGGAGGTCACCGAGGTCATGCGGTCCCGGCTTTCCGTATAAAGCGTGTGTCCGGTCACCAGCTGAGAGCCGCCAAGGGGCTGGTTGATGTCCAAACCACAGAAGGAGTCATCAATAGGGACAGGCTACAGGAGGAGAAAGGTCAACCGAGAGTCAGCAGTTTGCTTGGAATCAAAAAGTCAAGGTCATTTTGGTTGTTTATACAGGCATCAGTAGGAGGGTGAAAAGGTTGCACTGATTTTAATACAGAGAAGCACAAATCACATTAACCGACCCAGCGTCATCAGTTTGTTTTGTTGTCAAGTGAAGGTAAGAAATGGATCCGGCAACAGGTTGATTTTAGTACACAAAATTAATCAAAAAGAAATGCAAAAAAAAAAAAAATAATTACGGATCATTACAAACTCTATTACACCAAAATACTGAATGAAATATTATACTGTCATGTTTTTTTTTCTTACTCTCCACATGCTAAAAAGAAATGAAAGCAGATATTCATGATAAAGATAAAATAATTGTAAAAATATATTTTATAAAGATTAAGAGCAATTTCTAACTAGTACATAAACATATATACTACCATTCAGAAGTAAAAAAAGATCAGCAAGGAACCATTAAATGGAGGTGACAACAGATTTCTAAAAACAAAGGGGGAAAAATTCACAAAATTTTAAGCAGTACAACCATTTTTTTTAATGTTGATGAGAAAAATTCTTGAGCACCAAATCAACATATTAGAATTATTTCTGAAGGATCATGTGACAATAAAAGCCTGGAGTAATGATGCTGAAAATTCAGCTTTGCCATCACAGATTTAAACTAACAATTTTCTACTTTTATATATATATATATATATATATATATATATATATATATATATATATATATTCAATATAATTAAACTTAACATTTGACCCCAAACTTTTGAATGATTGTCTTCAAAATATGTGTTTCCAGGCATGGAAATTAAACTTTTTAAAAAACAATCCGTTTCAGGGTTTTCAGTGACTGTGAGATTCAGTGTAATCACACTATAAACTGATGATATTAACTGATTTGGGTTTGCAGTGAAGGCCAGAGAATACTGACTCTTGTTCAGTTTCTGAGGGGAGACAGTAACTGGACCATTGAGTGTGGTTTCCCAAGCCAGCCGCTTGGTTTTCTGTTCAGCTGGGCAAGCATGTTCCCGCTCTGCTCTGGTGAGTCCTGCCGAGCTCCTAGTCTGCCTCATTACCCTGTGCTATGAGGATAGTGTAGCTCACCCCAGCTGGGGACGAAAACACATTCACACACACTTACACACTCCACCAGCAGAAAGCAACACCTATACAGACGAGACTGGGGCTGAAACCACAAGTACACAGTCTCTAATTCTGATTTAAATTATCTAGTCCGGGACAGGGTGTTTCTATAACTTCTAGTGCCGGGGTTGGTTTTTATTAAAACTACCAAATTGTAACTTTTCTTTTATTATTATTATAATTTTTTACAACCATGATGTAGAAAAGCCTAACCCTGGCTGTGAGCCTAAACTTGACATACACTGTAAACTTGTCCCTCAAATCAGATTAGTTAATTGGAATGTTGTTCCAGGATCAGTGTGTGCGTGCGTGCGCAGAAAAATGACAGAATCCTCTGGTTATCGATGACCATCCAGAAGTGTGAAATGTCAAGAGTGTGAAATGTGTGTCCACGGGTCCTAAAAGGACCAAAAGAAACACCCATATTTTTCCTTTGCTCTGTCTCTATCCGGTTGTTAAGTCGTGACGTAACCACTCTCCGATAATACTGTTTCCGGGTCCAAAGGCCGGGTCCTCTCTACCTACCTACCGCTTTCGCCCGAGTTTTAACGTGTTCCCGTGTTGTTTAAATAGATCGGAGTTAAAAAACAAGTGACATTCAACTGTCATTCTACCGCTTTCCCTGTGACGAGAAAGATAAGAGAAAATGGCTGCAGTTGATAAGGTAAGTTACAAATCTTAAGCGAATGAAGAAACTTTGGCGCCAGTGGGTGCTATCCCTTAATCCCTAGTAACACCCACTGGCACTGAAGCGAAAAAAGCCCTTAAGAAAAGGGTTTATTTAGTCTAGGATCTGGAGTGGACGAGCGGAGCGCTTGGGCCCGGAAGAGGCTAAACGTCACGCGTGACGTCAGACTTAACAACCGAATTGCTCTCCCCTTGCACCTCCTTCTCTCTCAGACACACGCATACACACCAACTTAAACTAAAGAGATTGAAGCTTGTAAACATTTACAATCTAATGGGAGGGTCTATGGCCCATTTTTCATGTCACATGCAGCATGGGCCACTATCAATCCCCATTTGGGTTGGGGCGGCGAGTTACAACACTCGGCGGCGTTTCGATTCAGGTCATCGGAGTTTGTGACTGACACTGGCCTCAAAGTGCCATGTAGAGTAAGAGGGATGGATACTGTGTGCTCGGTCATGATGCTGAACGCAGCACTGCTCGTCCCCAACACTCCACAGCCCTTTAATATCAGCCTGGTCGACTACAGGCTCACGCTATAAAAATCTTTACTGCCTCCCAGCCCTTCACAAGCCGGGGGACGGCAATAAAGCAGGGATGTAAATGCCTCGTACTCTGCAGATATTGTTCCAGCCCTTCTTTGTCGTGTTTTCTTTTATTTTCAAATCTAAAAATAGCTGCCTAGATCTGTTCTGCAAGAAACAGTTGGCATTTGACTACATGATTTAAATTTGTATGCAAAGTCCTTTTTTTAAAGAAAGTCAGTCCACTCTGCGTTCATCTTGGCAATGCCCTCGGGCAGCTATGTTCTAGTCTTGGAAGTCCTATGCTAATGTACAGAAAAGAATTCATTCTACATCTTATATACTTCAAGGGGAAAAACACATTTCCAAAACTGTTTGGCAATCGTACATTTCAATAACATCAAAATCTGGCATCGAAATGGTACCATAAATTGCTACTTTAGCTCAAATTAATGTAATTATTAAAAATGTAGCAACCCAGTAGCAAAATGTACGTTTCTAAATTCATACAATTTACCAATCAGTCAATATGCTAATTTATTTTTATTGAATGATGAATTATATAAATCTGGAGTGGACAGTACCAGGACTAGCACTTCAAAGTCTATGAGCCCACTCATATTAAATGGCACAGCAAACTCGCCAAATTTTGATGCCACCTAACATTTTTATCCCCGTTTCAGTATTTTTACAATAAAATAGAACTCCTCATACATTTCTGTTTGCTATTCAAGCTCAACTTACCTAAAAAAAGAATAAATAAATAAAATGCACATAGATTTCCATGATTTCCAAGTACCTCTACTGACAGAGTGAGAGCTTATGAACATTCAGTGTCAAGTTTTGTCTCCCTTGTGCTCTCTGATATGAAACCTATCTAAGGTGCCTGATATTCACACGCCAACCTTCATGCTCATCACTGGAACCCATTTCCCATGACTACTGTTTCGGGTAAGGGGTTATTGTTCCATACACAAATCAGGACAAGGGTCGTTCCTTTGGACGCCACCTGATCAATAGAGTGTCCTTAGATCACTGCTCAAACTGGCACCGCGATAGGCTTGATCAGGCAGCTTGATGAAACGTAACACCGGCTGAATGAGTGAATAGCATCAAAGGGCTGGATGTGAAGCAGCGAGCAGGTTGGCCAGGCAGGAAGACAGTTGCAAGCTGGGCTCTGTGATAAATCTTTCATTCGGTCTTCTCGGCTTATGACTTCTCTTCTTCCTCCTCTCGCCCTCTGTTTCTTAGTTTCTCTTTCTCTGAGATTCAGCAGAGACACTGGAGCCGATGAAACCAACCCGAAAGGCTGCACAGAGGCCATGTTTCCAGTGATCAAAAATGGCCTGAAATAACTGAAAGGAAACTAAATAAAAACATCACGGTAGGGGAGTTCTAGCAGTATGTTTTGGTAAAACGAGCTTGAATAGCAAACGAAAAAAGCTAAGGAGTATTATTTCACTGTAAAAATAGTTTCATACGCCTACTGGTCTTGAAAAGGGAGTAAAAAAAGCTTGGTGGCAGCAAGAGGGTGGTTAGTTTTGGCATTTGATTAGTATGGGTTCAAAGGCTTCACTATTCAAATTGTTAAAGATCAACCTGCATAATACCATAGATTTATTGAACAGTATTGAGTTTTATAGTACATATATCCTCATGTTTTTATATCCAAGTCCTCCTCCTCAGTCAATCATGACACATTCCTCTAGGATCAGGAGAGAAGACGCAGGAGGTTTCTGTTGCAATTCTTTTAATGAGGCCTAGAAAAACATGGAGGAGGGCAGGCTGACATCATAAGCCATTGACGGCCCCCCTGGGGTCAGATGGGGGATCCTCTAGGGTCCTTAATGGGACCAGAGTGGAGTCGGCTACTATGAAGACCACCCTTCTCAGACACTCAATAATGTTTTCCTCTGAGTGACAATCACATCTGACATCATGCTAATGGTGAATTTACTGAAGCTAATAAAGGATACCCTGGAGGAAACCACATATCAGTGGTTTGTCATTAAGACTCTACTTAAACTTCATGCACACATATGCAAAAGAAACAGTGAGAGCAATAAAACATACACATATTCATTTATATATTTATGCAAACATCAACGCAACACTTGTCAATGTGGTTACTTGTAAATATGCATATGCACAGAGAGTTAAGAGTGCTTCTAATTCAATTTGTTTACATCAGAGGTCAAACAGCAGAGACTCAAAGGACTGTGGTCTTTTGGGAGCAAGACTAGTAAAGAACAAAGCAAACAAAAGATGATTACCGTGAATAATAAAGGTGCATGCAACAATGCATTCATTGTTAGTTCATGACACTTAACGCATTAACCAATGTTAACTGATTCAATGTTATCAAAAAGTGGTACAAAAATACCAAACCTACAAAAAAATTTCATTAAAAAAATATAATAATAATTATAAATGGTTGCATGCATGCAATGCATGACTAATCACCCTAATCATTATAGTTCACCATAGTGACCTACAAATATTTAATTAAGCAAATCCAAATTAAGCAATTTGGAGAATATTATCACGTTGACATGACTCCTATGTGTATCAAACTTTAATGTAGCCATTTAGACTACCAACGCTAAACAATTAGACATAATTACAGATGGATGAAGAATATTTAGAAAATTTTAAATAACCAAAACTGTTGAAAGGATTAGTCTAGAATTCCTTTCATGGGATTTGTTGGGGTGTGCATTCACACTTAGACCAACCCTGACCATGCCTGTCATTCAATCCTGTAGGTTGCAGGGGTCAACAGGATTGCTTGGATAGTATACTGTTACACTCTTAAGAATGAAATATAGATATGTTAGAACAACAACCAGCTAAGTAAACATTATGATGCAGATCCTATTCTCATTCCAAAGAAAACATAAAATTAGTAACAATTCCCCATCTGACTGTTTTGACTACTGTGGTTTCTAGTAAGCAGAAGCAGGCATGGGAACTATCCGTTTCTGAGGGCAAAAATGTATATTGCGCTAAGTGAACAGCATTCAAAAGGCAGAGAGCTCTAAATAAAGCTCTTAAAAAAAACATGCATTCAACAAGTTCAATTAAAGTAGTACAATTTGGAAAGAACTTCCATGATTAAGGTTTCAGATACTACATCTAAAGTAATGCTTCATGTACAAAAGCTGGTTTAGCAAGCTAATCTGCAAGCTAGTTGTTATGGCTAGTAATAATAATAATAAAAAATATCTTACCGCTTTGGTACAAGGTACATCCTTTCCCAACAGCCAGTTGAGCTCTAAGTTTCCCTCTCCCTGATAGCAGGATTGCATACGCTCCTTGATCCGTGCATTGATGTCCCGGATGCTGAAGACGCAGAGGGCCGAGTCATCAGGTGGATGGTGGTACTGTTTTTGACCTTTGGAAAATACAGCAAAGAGCACATCATCCTGAGCGCTAATGTTAAGGGACGCTGCAAGCACTCGCCCAGGTTTGCCCAGGTAGGCCGCCTGCAGAAGGCGGTACTCAACCCTGTTTCGGACACAACCGATAGGCAACGACACATAGGAGTGGAATTTGTGGTCATCTTTGCAGAGTCGGACGATTCGAGAGGTGTAAAACAGGTCGTTTGAGGGCCCGCTGGAAGACATGCTGTTCTCAGGTGTTTCTGGTTGCACAGTCAGAAAGTAGACAAAATTCCCACTGGCAAAGCCATAGATGTAGTAAATGTCGAAATGAGACACCAAAGCCAGTGTGTCAGAGGGAATCTTGATGAGAGATGAAACAAAGTCAGTGTGTAGCTCGTAGTCCAGCATTGCCGAAGACTCCGGGTCACGAGGAAGTTTCCGGCTGGAGATAGTCGGAAAGTAATCTTGTTTCCCATCCACAGCGGTACCAATGAAGAGGGTCCCATCCTTGCCCTGCGAAGGCACAATGACTCCATACATGGTACCAGTCTGGTTGACACTGGAAAGGTAGTGCTCCTTTTTGTGAGAGGGCTCCACCAAGATGAAGAGGTCGTCCAACCGTAGAAGTTTGCAGACACCTTGGTAGAGGCTTCCGCAGGCAAGTAGTCGATTTTGAGAGTAGTCAATGAGCAAGAGTTTGTTGATGTTGTTGGTAGAAACCAGTGGTTCATTGCAAGGCTGAACAATTAGTGGAGGGTAGCAGGCCTTGTTGTCATCTTCCGGACCAGTGTCATGGGATACTAGGAGTGTTAAGTTGCCCGATAATTTGTAGACACGGTTGACAGCACCAATGTAGATTGCTCCTGTCGTCTTGTGAACTGTCAGGTGGTTGAAGGCCCATTCTCGTCGCTCAGGGTGGAATGTTGTAAAGGACTGTTCACAGCACACTACAGGCAATATTAAGACTAACAACCAGCACGTAAAGGACAATGTGGAACCCTGTCTAGGGCTTTGTTTCAAAGTCCTCTGTGAATCCCGCTGTCCCTCCATGGTCCGAGGGACCCGTCAGGTTAGAAAATGAAGAGTTTAAAGAAGTATCAGAAGGCTCAACCTCCGTCCTCGTAGTCTGAAGGATAACTTTGTGGTCCGGTGCTTTACCAGGGTCTTCACATTTTTCTGAAAGAGAGAAAGCGAGAGTGATGAGGACATAAATCAGCATCAAAACATCTAGACTCACATATAATCCAAAAGCTAACAGACAATGGAAATTGCACCCCATTAAAACAAACCAAGGCCCTCTGCCTCCATTGGAGGACTGTCTACTAACCCAAGAGGAGGGGGCAGCTTCTCTAATAGACAATGGTAGGAAAGGCTTATCTTCACATTCCAAAGGAGTTGTCGGGCAGGATTACACAATGCAGGAAGGTGAAGCACATCGAAGCAACGGAAATTAGCATGACATGAATTGCGCTGCTTGCCATTTCTCTGAGACAGCAGTTTCTAAGAATGGAACTCAGTCAAAGGTCTCTAGAGTAGTGCCTGTTTTGTCAATTACAAGATCTAACATAAAAAAAATAAAGGATCTAAGCAAAAGCATGTCTGAATAGGTCTGACAAATGGTTTTAAAATTATTATTCTTTTAGTTTTGGAGCCATTTCATTTTTTTTCCCTAATATTTTTTGAGTAATGCATTTATGTCAGGAAAAGTATGCTTAAAAGCTTTACTTTATGACAAATATTAACATTACACTCTCATTTCTTGACGCATGCTTCTTCCTTATTATCTACCCTTCCCAACTTATTTTGTCCCTCTCACAGTGAGAAAAGTACATTGTGGACAATTTATGTAATAGCAGTTTGCAAAGACCGGTAGAGCGACATCTCCCCCATACGATAAATCAAAAGGGGGGCTTTTCTTTCTTCTGAATTTATCCCAGGGAGTTAATTATCCAATCCACTGCATGAGGGAGGCCTGGATCTTATTACTACAACAAAGTGTGAACAAATTGGGTGCCGGTTCCATGCACCCTGTTTTTACTATCTGCTCTGTGAGGGGGCTGTTTAACAGGATCTGAATCCATTAATTATGCTTTCCAATTCTGTTCGTGTTTTTCTTTCTTTCCTTTTTGTATCCCTTTGACCCCATTAAGTCCTGGAGGGATTAATCATTGGCACCAGAGCAATCATCCCTAAACGAATAAGGCAGCCATTAGAGATATACAATCTACACTGTCCGAACACATTCAACATATTTCTGCTCATATTTGTTCCCCCTTGTTTGATTTGCATGCATTATCAGTGCTACAGTAGGTGGTACGAGAGGGCTAACAAGTGTAGACAATGCCTGCACATCAGAGAATCACATATGATTAAGCAAAGCAGTCCGACAATTGTAATTAGCTCAGACATTGTGGTTTAAGTGAACAGAGCTTTGCTAGTGTGCTAGAACATGTCAAGATATAGAAGCTATTGTTAATCGCTTTGTGATTTGCATGTAGAGGCTAAAGGGACACAGTGATCAAAGGTAAACGACCTGTGCAGAATTATAAACAGGACTTTGCTAACACATATCAAAGTGCTAATATCCTAGTTTAGCTATCCTCTTTATCATAAACATGCTCTAGCTTAGTTCTGGGGTGCAGTATATTAGCATGGCTATAAAAGGAGTTGTAAAACTCAGTCCTAGGGTTGGTTTTGTCCTTCACGCTGCTCTTTTGTGGGACTTCGCACATGCTGGAGGTGCAAAGCACGTTCCCCTGGAGGTGTTATCTGGCATCTGCTGAACAAGCAATTTTCTGCAGCCTTCTGGCTTTTAGGCCTCACCTTCAGGAGTGAAATCACCTCTTCTCTCCAACCGCAAACCATCACTGAATTTATCTTGTATGATTTTGCTCGAGTAACTACCACCACTCCTCTCTTTTCTTCCTTTTCCCTAACCCTTTTCCCCCCTGTTCCCTGCTGACTCAGAGCGAGTGGCTTCTCTCTTTTTATGTCGTAGCGACAGCTGCACTGAAGAGGGGACCGAATGGTGTAAATAACGACTGTTCAAAGTTTAGCAGCAGTGCTGTCAGGAACAGAAGCAATAGGGGCTTTGTTTATTATGCTTTGTGTTTTTCCCCCTCTTTTCTGCGACGCTTGACAGGACTCTGCTTATTATGCAGCCTGGCCAAAGAATTGAATAGATGAGACTGATTCGCCTCTTAGCTTCCTTTTATTGTTTGAAGTCAGTCTTTTACACTTGGCTCTCGGAAGAGATTACCATGTCAATGTTTGCACCTGTGAATCATTGGTTCGTCACACCAGAGCCTATAGAGATAATGGCGCGATTTAGGTAGGTTTGTCAGAACAGGCATCTGTATTGTGGAGACAACAGCACAGGCATTTTGGCAAGAGCTTTATTTCACCATGACAGTGATTCACAACCATACAGTGCACAAATGGAAAGGTAACAGTTACCTCATTAGCATATCCATTATGACCTCACAACCACAAGAGACTATGCTTTTATTCAAATGTCCTGCCTCTGTCTCTGGTTTGATTTGTGGTGGAGTTGCACCTGCGTCAGTAAGTCACATAAAAAGACTCTGGGAATATCATTTGAATAATTGAATAATTAAATAAAAAAAGTAATAATAAAAATTGTGTGTGTATATACACTCACCTAAAGGATTATTAGGAACACCTGTTCAATTTCTCATTAATGCAATTATCTAATCAACCAATCACATGGCAGTTGCTTCAATGCATTTAGGGGTGTGGTCCTGATCAAGACAATCTCCTGAACTCCAAACTGAATGTCAGAATGGGAAAGAAAGGTAATTTAAGCAATTTTGAGCGTGGCATGGTTGTTGGTGCCAGACGGGCCGGTCTGAGTATTTCACAATCTGCTCAGTTACTGGGATTTTCACGCACAAACATTTCTAGGGTTTACAAAGAATGGAGTGAAAAGGGAAAAACATCCAGTATGCGGCAGTCCTGTGGGCGAAAATGCCTTGTTGATGCTAGAGGTCAGTGGAGAATGGGCCGACTGATTCAAGCTGATAGAAGAGCAACTTTGACTGAAATAACCACTCGTTACAACCGAGGTATGCAGCAAAGCATTTGTGAAGCCACAACACGCACAACCTTGAGGCGGATGGGCTACAACAGCAGAAGACCCCACTGGGTACCACTCATTTCCACTACAAATTAGAAAAAGAGGCTACAATTTGCAAGAGCTCACCAAAATTGGACAGTTGAAGACTGGAAAAATGTTGCCTGGTCTGATGAGTCTCAATTTCTGTTGAGACATTCAGATGGTAGTGTCAGAATTTGGCGTAAACAGAATGAGAACATGGATCTATCATGCCTTGTTACCACTGTGCAGGCTGCTGGTGGTGGTGTAATGGTGTGGGGGATGTTTTCTTGGCACACTTTAGGCCCCTTAGTGCCAATTGGGCATCGTTTAAATGCCACGGCCTACCTGGCATTGTTTCTGACCATGTCCATCCCTTTATGGCCACCATGTACCCAACCTCTGATAGCTAATTCCAGCAGGATAATGCATCATGTCACAAAGCTCGAATCATTTCGAATTAGTTTCTTGAACATGACAATGAGTTCACTGTACTAAAATGGCCCCCACAGTCACCAGATCTCAATAGAGCATCTTTGGGATGTGGTGGAACGGGAGCTTCGTGCCCTGGATGTGCATCCCACAAATCTCCATCAACTGCAAGATGCTATCCTATCAATATGGGCCAACATTTCTAAAGAATGCTTTCCGCACCTTGTTGAATCAATGCCACGTAGAATTAAGCCAGTTCTGAAGGCGAAAGGGGGTCAAACACAGTATTAATATGGTGTTCCTAATAATCCTTTAGGTGAGAGTATATACAGTATATATATATACTGTATATGCACATTAATGCACTGTAACCGTAGGCACTTTGGATTGAAAGCACTTGCTTTATAACGAAGAAACCATCACTAGTACTCCACTGAGCCCCTGACTGTTATTTCAGTTCCATCTGACTGAGCATCAGCACATGGCTCCACCGAGTGTCATTTTATCATGTGAAAATCCATCCCTGGGTTATAATCCGCTCATCACATTTACATTAAACTGACCTCCGGGATACAATGCTGTTCAGATGGGATCCAAATTTAGCACTACTAATCTCTTGTGAACCATGGCGAATTCAAGCCTATGCTTCTAAAAGATTCCTCGGCTGAAATGTGCACAAGCACAGAGCAGATTTTTCAGGCCACATTGGTATCATTTACACTGTGGTATCTGACTGAATAAAGCTCCAAAAAATGGGGGCATGGAATATTCTAGCTTGTTATATCCGAATACACGGCCTTGGATTTCATTGTGGGGCTAAATGTGAGTGTGCAGACTGAACGAACAGGAAAACCACTACATTCCAGTGAGTGCTGAGGCTGTGATTATTGTACAGGAAAACTGTTGTTTTCCTTAATGAACAGTGAGGCACAACAAACCACATGTTAGTGCTGCATAAACCCATAGCGGCCTTGTGACTAACTTCGGTTAGCTCATCTATAGAATATGTTGCTACCGTAATGATCAGATTCCTGCCAGGGACATTGCGGTAGCTACCAAATCTCTAGAAGTATGAGCCATACTTTATATTAGCGTTGGCATAGGGACATTAGAAATGGTTTAGGGTTGAAAGAGTAATGCTATGTTGTGTTTCATCACAGACTCTACCCACAATTCAAAGCACAGGCGGACCGTTTCAATGGACAGAAGGGTAATTTTAAGCTCCAATGGCTGATAGAGAGCCCGGCTAAAGGGCTCACGCTATGGATACGAGAGCAGAGGGAGCACACCCCTCCACCCCCCATCCCGTGTACCATTACATATTTTCCTTCCTTTTATAAGCTACTTAACAATAGAACCAAAGTTGTTTGATCTTTTAAATTCGTATTTACAGCTATTGTACTGCTTCAGATAAAGAACCTTAACCACAATCCCGTTATGGCGGAAAATCCTATTAATTGTTGTGGAATGGAAAAAAAATGACACTTTGGAATTTCATGCCTGGGATTAATCCGTCATTCCTAATAACGACTAATCTTTGAGCATGTAATCTAAATGGTTAAATAAATACCAATATTCACACCGTCACAGAAAATAAAGTTATTTAAGCAGACAAAAATCAAGCAGCAAG